CTCTGTCTGGTTGACCATTTAACACAGATCCATGAAGACAAAGGAAGTTCTCCTTCTTTAATAGCAAGAAAACTGAATAACATTTACAAACTGAAAATAATATTCCTTCATATCCTGGGTTGTGCTCAAACTGCACAGCTCAGAAGGGGTCATGTCCAAGGTACACCTGATTCCTGGTTGGAGGCCACATTGATCCCCAGAAAAAAACAGGGCAGCTTAAGAGTGAGATTTATGCTTTGTTGCCTATGACCCCAAAGGGGATTGCTGGGGAATAGGGACATCCCAGCCACTAACCTTGTCTCCCAGACATGTCTCCCTGTAGGAGGATTTCTCACAGGGGGACAGATCTGTTGGCTTTCCAGTTGCCTTGTATTGTCGGAGTAGTACATAGCAGTAGGAGCAGGGCCAGGATCTGACCCACTAACCCTTTCTTTGATGCATTCAGCTGTACCCTTGCATTGTCAAAATGACATTCCCATACATGAGGAAGGATCTGAGATTATATATTTTCCATAGCCCAGGTGTGTTCAGCAACATTCAGGTGGTTCTTAGCAAGTAACTCAGAGATTTAGAGGGCCTGATTCTCCTCTCATAGCTGTGTAAATTGGAAGTAGTTCCACTGAAGTCGATGGAGTTAAATTGGTGTAAAACTAGTGTAAGTGAGAGGAAAATCAAGCCAGAGGGATCCTTGCATGTGCTTGAGACAAGTGCCAAAAGCCATTCCTGATATAACTCCATTGAACCCAATGGATGCATTTGGCTCATGTTCAGTGTATTCTCTAATGTGATATCTAATCTAGACAGCAAACAATGAAATGACCTAATCTCATGCCCGCTGAAGAAAGACTTCCACTGAATCCAGTAGCATTGGATCAGGTCCAATGTGTATCATTTTGGTCTGTAGTCATGTCTGGTTCTTAAAGATTCATGAACAAACTAATCAGTGGTGTAGCTCAATTGAGTTCATGAGTCAGACAGATAGCAAATTTGAACCTACATGTTTTAACCCTACAGAGGAAGGGAAAAGAAGCTTTAGGTGTGAAACTCAGACCTGCTTTTGCTCAGAGATAGCACAAAGCAGCAGGATCATTATGTTCTTTGGTTATTTATGAAGCTATTGGCAGGAAACCACACAGCCTAGAAGTTTATAGTATTTGGTGCTTTTCTAAATGAAAGAAACAGAACTCTTGTTTTTTGTCAGTGTAAGATCAAAAGAAATTATGGCTGTTTTGTGTTGTTTGTTATTTTAGCTCAGATGCCCTGTAATATACAGTTTAATTTGTACTGAAGTACAACCATTGTGGTGTCCCCGGGATCCTTCTGAAAATGAGATTTACATCCCATGAGCTTATATTACTGAGCAAAATTCTTTAGATAAATAAACCATCTCTTTTTTTAAGTCGTAGTAGCAATATGTTGCTTTGTGACTAGAGCGACATGACAGTGGAAGAACAGTTCTGTGAAAGGTTTCAGTTTGCATCTACAGCAAGACATGGGCTGAATGTAATTTTGACTTAATTGCAAGTGGGTTTTGCTCAAGACAATGAAATAGGAGGGTCATAATAGAACAGGGGGCAAAGAGGGGAAAAATTAAGCAGAAAGGGTAAATTATTTTACACAGCCTTCCTTTACCTGCGTGATCAGAAGCATATATACTGGAAAGTTTGGGAAAGAAGGTTCTATGGGTCCTGTGATTAAAAACCAGTGAGTTACATCCACCAGAACTGGATTATAATATAAAGGGTTAAAACAGACTTAACTGAAGTTGGAGTTGTTTACAGTGGTTCTGAAATTGGCCTTATATTTATCATCATTGTTGCTGTTTTACTAAGTGAATTGATTCAGATCGCTGTTGGACGATGTTACCCCTGCACATTCAATATACTTGGATCTGTTTGCTTCTCATTATCCAGGATGCAAGGAGAATATATGTATCACAGCCCTGGTACTTAGCAGGACCCCTTGTTTTAGAGTTGTGACAGAGCTTACACTGCTGTGAAGTGACCTAGGATGTTCATTACAGTTTTCAGGCCACGTAGCCCCTGAACAGACATGGGAATGAGTCAACTGGGTGAGAAGTCTTTGACATTAACATAGGAAAGAAGAGTGTGAGGTACACTAGTGTGTTAATCATTATCCACCCCAAGATAGCGTGCCATGTACTGCCATTGCAAACTGAACCAGATTACTGTATAGTTGCTTACCAATGTCCATTCATGCTGCATTCAAGATGGTATCCCAGGAGGAAATTTTCACTGACATTCAATGAGACCTGTTCTCCTAGATCCCATATATGCTTCTGTAAATCTCCTCCAATATATTTATTCCGAAATTTGTTCATCTCTGTTTCTTCTAATGCAAGTGTGGGCTTCCACTGATAAGGTGCCCTGTACTCTTGGGTCAAGCCATTTAGCCAATGGAAAGTGCTAACATCTTTTAATAACAATCATACATCAAACAAAGCCCTCTACTCTCTAAATCTATGTTAAATTTAATCCAAAATATTTAGTGTTTTGCACCTCTGGAAAGTATGTGACCAAAGATTACTTTGGTTAAAGGTATTTCAGGGTCCACATAGATCTCACTAAAAGCACTACAGAACACTAAAGATAGCAGTGTATGGTTCATTCCCCTCTCACAGAATCTGCCAAGAGTGGCCCCCTCAGAGAAAACAAAATCAGTTTGAGTCTCATCACTTACTGAATCTTATTTTGACCTTCTAGAAAATCAAAATCTCTGACATTTCTTGGGGTCCAGTAGATGTAGTTTAGTGACTAATGCTATCTTCTCTTAGCTCCTCCGCACCTGAGGGTCTGACTCAAATCCCAATCCTGCCTAATGGATGAACACTTCATTATTATTTTGCATGACAGTTCATTTTCTGGTCTGAACTGTTTTTCAAAGAGACAAAAGAAAAAAAGATCCATTTAGTTTCCCTACACATTTTCCATATTTATACACACACACACACACATTTAATGACAATGCCCATAAGATAAATTGCCTTTATCATGCACATTTCATCGATTTACCTCCATTCTGCCCACTGATCTATCTATCCCTAAACTAATTCTAACACTGCCTGGAATAGTTTTACAGTGCTTTCCTTAAAGCAAAAAAGAAATCTATCTGTAACAAATTGCTTCCCTCAAATATTGATTTTCTTCATTAAAATTACAATGGCCTGGGAAGACAATATTCAATTCTGTGGATCTGTGATGGACTGAAGGTCTGTTATCTTGCAACCTTGCAGAGTTAGAAAAAGAAGAATTATACCACTGGAAAAAGGAACTTCCTAGCTTTGAAATAGGACAGAGAAATTGCTTCTTGCTGTGAAACATCCCAAGATAGTAGTCTTTAAAAATGTGACATTTGCATTATTAAAAAAAAAACTATTTCCGATCCTTTTTAGAAATGTAAATGTATTAAACTAGTCTTCTTTCTATAGCTGATAAAGGTGAGATGCCTGGATTTAAATCTTCAAATTTTAGTTCCTAAAGTTTGGCATCTAAATAAGGTATAATTTCACTGAACACCTACAAGTCCCACTGAATATATGCAGTGACAAAAACCTTGTCAATATAACAAAATAAAATCTTGTAACTGTATTATTTCCATCAACAAAACCATATTGCCTATTAGAAATGTTATTTATCTAAGGGAAAAAATGTCTTTTCAACAAGCCTTTGTAGTAATGTAGAAAAGACTGGAAAGAATGCTGTTAAATGTTTGTGTGCATACAACGCTGTAATAGATGTTCTATTTTGTATCAGAAAGAAATCCCCATTTACTATTAAAATATTTTATAAGGAAGCCCCTTAAAAGTTAGTGTGTAGTGCTCTTTTTCTCTTGGAAAGTGAAGGATGGCATAGATTCATTGTAGCTGTAAGTGACCTTAGGTTTGACCTTTCCTTGGTAAACAATCATTGGATTGGATTTAAAAGCATAAATGCCATTAGTTCTTCCTGTACCCAAATGATGCTGTCATGTGCGGCACATGCCTGCCTACAGTAATTTGTTTTAAATTCAATTTCATTTTAAAACATGACAAGATAATGCTTGTTATTAGCACATGTTCCATTGGGTGCTTGAATCAGTAGTATACAGCAGTTTTCCAAGGGAAATTGTAAATTGCAAAGGCTCAAGATGTCAGATCAAATGACATATTGTAATTGGAGTTAACAGTGTCATTTGTCAATTTATAAACCTGCTCCCTGTGGTATAATCCCTCTGTCTTTCATAGTGAATAATTAGTCAAGTTTTCTGTAAAGATGGATTTGGGTCACTAATTATTCTTTATGAAAGCATTATAGCATAACTTTATATTTCAGGAAATGCAGGCCAGTGGTAGCTTGGCATTGTTAGGACACAAACAAAAACACACAAGTCTAAAAATTCAGTCTTTTCGATCAATACGCAAACTACTCTCTGACACTAGAACAGTCGACCGCAAACAATATAGCCACCAAATTTAGCTCTTTTTACTGTTTATGAATTGTCTCTAAACAGAGCACAATTTTTTATGAATTTGTATATTTAAGATCATTTAATGAATACTTTAGGTGGATCAATCCAGACTATGGATTTGTCATGGATTATTCTGCGCAAGCATTCATTCAGGTATTCACAAGGAGAATGTACTTGATAATCAGAATATACTAATTTGAATTATGCAGTGAGGGTGACCAGACAGCAAATGTGAAAAATCCGGATGGGGGTGGGTGGTAGTAGGAACCTATGTAAGAAAAAGACCCAAAAATTGGGACTGTCCCTATAAAATCAGGACATCTGGTCACCCTATATGCAACTAAGCACCTAGATCAGATGACATTGGGTCTGTTCTCTGCTTCAGAAGTGATTAAGAACTGTATGTTATAATCTTATCTGATTTACACATATCCGTTCTTTTTCTAATTTCTCTTCAGAAGTGAAAGGTGGTGATAATGATGATTGTCCAATTACAATAATGAAGTGCAATTGTCTCTCTCTTATAACTCCAGGGGCAGCCCATCTTGCTGGAGATAGTGGATGAGTGACATATCTGTATGCAGAAAAGCACATGACTACGTACAGTAGGTGGTTTAGAAGGCTCTCATTATTTACAAGTTTAATTGCCCAGCTCAATTCTCATTTCTTTTTGTTGACTGCATGTTATTTTTTTTTCCTCTCTTGATCTGAATTCTTTATTCTCTTACACCTACTGTAAAAATGTGATGTTAGTGAATAGGCACTATAGCTGTCATGTAGTCACTGTTATATTTAGTTTTCAGTGGTAGTCACTTCACATGAAATATGCATAATATGCACACAAAATAACCTACAATAAGGATGAGATTCTATAGTCTATTTTAACCAGAACTAGCTGCTCTAGTTATCTTCCTATCTAGGCATTTACAATACACTATCAGACTACGGTCAGGGGATATTTGTGGCTTTAGTCAGTATTCTTCAGTTAAGGTAGATATTGGTCTATCATTGTGTTTGCATTGTTCCATGACCATCATATTGATCCCTATATGTAGCCATCCTTAACGTAACTTCCCTTGGTGACTATTTAGTACCCCTTTCTTAACGTGGGTGAAATTTTGTTACCAGGTATGCTATGAAAGTGCTTGATCACATATTTGCCTCTCCTAAAGCTATGGAAAGGAACAGAGGCCCACATCCTCAAAGGTATTTAGACACCTAACTCCCATGGATCTTGGCCAGAGTGGTTTTTATTAGAATGGTTCTTCGCTCTAAGGTTAGCAGGCCAAGAATTGTTGACAAAGCACCACAGCGGAACCTCAACTTAATTCTAAAATTATGTTTCCCACAATGAAAAACATTTTTTGGAGGGTGGGGGACTTGAGTGGCTTTTAGTTAATTCTAGTAGTTAGGTATGGCCCTGAATGTGTCATAGAATCTTAGAATTTGGCTAGCTAATTCTCCCCACTCTCTTATCACTCTTGCTGTACTTGCTCTTGGTTTCTCCTTATAGTGAGGACTCATGGTATTGGTATCCTATGTTTTTCTCCCCAAAATACTAAAAATAATTTTACCCAGAATCTGAAAGTTTCCCCTGAAGAAGGTCATTTAGGCTGGGTGTATAAACTAAGATCCTGCACTCCATTAGTGCCGTAGGATGCTGTAAGTGGTGTGATATTTACTTTGTATTAGCCTTAGAAGATGTGCTTGAGGAAAATAAAAGACATGGCAAAGAAGAGAAGCTTATTTACTGAAAACATATTTTGGCATACTAGATGAGCATTGCAAAACGAGGCCAGCCTTTCAAAAACACCTTCCCAGCAATGCTGCCAAGGTGAATGAGAACACTGGGCCTCTGCCTAGTGGCTGGTTTCAGTTATGCACCCAACATTTCTGAAAACTTTGTCTTATTTGTAAATCCACATTCCTCATTTTTTAAATTTTTTGTAGTGTATCTTTACTCTTACAGCTCCCCTAGGGGGCGCCAGTCAAACGTTCCACAGCTCAGAAAGTATTCCGCAGGATAAACACCTACTGAAATTCATATATGTTTCACAGTCTCTTTATATAACTTGTATACATACAACTGGAGCACAAAGACAGGAAAAGTCATGAGAGAGATCACTTAGATACATGAAGTAAAAGAAAATCTTTAAAAATCCTATTTTATTAACATACCTAAAATAGTCAAATGTTTCCTGGAAAGTACAACAGTTTTGCTCAGGAGTGCAGCCATGCTCTTTTGTGCTCATTCCTGTCAGATCTCACAAACCAACTCAATACCTGAATGGGAGACCTCCCAGGAACCTTTAGTTTCTAAAGGAGACATTCTTCCTTCTGGATCAGCACTGAAGTAATGCAGCATGTTTCTGCTAATATGTAAAGCGAAGTCCATTTGTGATCAGAAAAATCCAATGTCATTTATTTTTTTAGAAGAATAGATGCCTTGTGTTTGTGCCATATTCTGACTCAGTTATAGCTGCTGTCTCTCTAAATGTAGTCTAATAGCAGAGAGCAAAGAACACCATAGGCATAATTGTCTAGTACTGCTGTGCACTGCTACACGCCTGCAGAGTTCTACCCCAGAGGAAACAATATTTCAATGGCAAGTTAAGTGAAAAGTATATCTACAGTTTATGGTCTTTATATGCAGGGATGCTGTGAGAACGGATTGTAACTCCATCCCAAGTACAGCTCCATCTCTGAATCTGAACTCACCAATATTCAGTGGGGGCGGAGGGGGGGGGACTCTGATGTTCCATGCAGTGCAGGCACAACTATAATTGTGAGGTTCTCATGAATTTTGCAAAACTCTCTAAGAACTTAGAGGAAAGGTGCTACAGCTGTGTAAAGTAATATCTACCTACAAAGAATATTAACAAAATAATAATTACATTGTAGCAGTTCATTATCCCTTTACCAGTACATAGATATCTGCTCTCACCTGGCACCAAAACCTATATTAGGTATCTTAATGTTGTACAGATTATGAGGGTTTATAGTTCTGTAGGATCTATGTTAGCTCAGTTTGATGCAATTGTTGGCTGTGGCGTTATTGTGTATAAAGAAATAACAGAAGAGAAGCTTACATCATAACCCTAAGTTCAGGCAGGTTTAGCTCTGCTTTAAAACACACAACCAATATTGCTGTTTAATAAAAGGGAGGGTGCCTGACTACACACTTGGTCAATGTGAATAATGTAGGACTGTATATAACCAGGTATGATACAGTAAGTCAATTTAATGACGGTTATGAGATCTACTACTGCAGTGAACAAAGGGAGCAAGAACATAATGTCATAGAAGTCAGAGATGGAAAATACTTTTCCTGGAGTCATCCATTCCAGTTTCCTGCCAATCCTAGATTGGCAATATTGGGAGGAGACTCAAGGATGAGGTGGGGGCTAAAAATATTCTAATATATCTAATTTTTACAAAATTAAGTTATCCATTTTCAACCCCATGAGTACTAGTTATAGGCCAATGCAGTAGACAGGCATACAATTGTCTGTTTCAGTTTGCTCCTCGAATGGCTGCAATTTAGGATGAAAACTAGAGGCAAACCCAGCATTAAGAGCAAGCAGTTGTCTATCATGTGCTGAACAGAGTGTGGAATATGAGGGGCCTTTAAGAGCTCTTACTAATAGGGCAATCATAAGGTACTGAAAAGAGAGAGAATAGGTTCCTTGAACAAACAGGAGAATAGTGATAGATCTTTTTACAACTGTGGCGTTCCAGGCAATTGAAAAAGCACCAGCTGCTCAAGAGGTACTTCACATCCACATCCTCCAAATCAGTAGATGGCCTGATGCCACTGAAGAAGGGGCAAATGGAGACTAATTCAACCAAGTGCTAGATGAGGAACAACTTTGATGAAAGTTCTGAAGGTGGACAAGTGAACACGTGAGAACAAGAGCCAGAACAAAAGGAAGGAAATAAAATAGAAGCCCCATTAAAGTTGTAATTAAAAATAATAAAAGCCTCATTACAGACAACCATCAAAAAATGCACCTTTGGAATTTGAGCTCAGAAATGTTGATTCTCACTGATCTAAAAATTCCTATCTGTACTTACAGGGTGTGCCACAGTTCACAAATACTTGCCTCCACTCTATGCCTCCTGGCTTGTTTTTCTGTATTTCCTTTTTGCTTCAATGACATTTACAGTCTTCTAGGCGTAATTTCTACAACATCTGGGCTGGTCTAAGAAATTCCACCCATTTGTGCAAACATGTAATATTTATAACATCATAAGCAAGAAAAGCAATTTGGGGAAGAGGTTCTTCAGAAAAAAATAACTGATACTAAATTAAGATAAATGTCTCAGTTTACAACCAATGTTTAATCCTAGGCTTTGAGTAAATTCTGCCATAGTATATTCATCTGATCTTTTATTTAGGTATACACTGCATACATATATAAGCAATGCATTACAGGAAAAATATTAAAGAGATTTCACAACCCATTCTGCTTACAGTACACAGTGGATTAGATTATTATATAAATACTACTTGAAAATAAACTGCTGTTTACGCTACTCAAATCAAATATATCACAATATTTGTATTACAAAAATGGAAGACATTTCTTTTGATCATTACAAAAATGTTTTGCTGGAATTTATGTAGGAGTAAGAGCACAAAGGGACTTGGCAGCAATATTGTATGAAAGATATTTCAAATTTAGTAAAATGTATGAAAAATACTGCTTTAAGTCTTAAGCTGGCAACTATGTAGTAGGTTTAAAGTGTAATGTCTTGATGCTTTATAAGGCACTCAACTATCATATAAAGAATTACCATTACAAAGGCAGGTGGAGGACGCTAAATATTAATGACTGCAAATCTCATTGCTAGAGAGAAAAATTGATATTACATAATCAGAAGAAATGTATTTATTTGAACCGAGTCTCTGAAGAAATCTATTAAGTTAATTTAATGGAGAGAAAGACAGTGAAACACACCATGATTACAAAATAGTTTAGTTCTTGGTCTAATTGTGTCACTTAAAATATCCACTAAGGACTTCACTGTATTAGACAACAGTTGATGCCTGCATCATAGGTGAGGTAGTATGGTCGACCCTAAACTTCCAAGGGCATTATATTGTCCATGTACTATAGCTGTGTGCATCTTACTGGGAGTGTGTGGAGACCTCCATGGCACATAAGTAATGCAGAGGTCTCCCTTTGTAGCCACTCAACACACCACACAGCCCCATCAAGAAGCTTGAACGATGCAGAGGGCCTTGCTCTGACCCACTGCACCTGCTGTAATTCAGATTATTTTGGATAATGCCAACATGCTGTGTTAATAAGGTTTTCTGTTGAATTAGAGGGAGAAAACTCTAAAACTATCTAAAGCCATTTGTGTCTTCTTCCTTGGCCAACAGTTGTCATTTACCTTAGGAAAAATCTCAGGCCTGTGGAAGTCAGTGGGAGTGTAGAAGGGCTCGGCCGAGGCTCGTCCCGCCGCGAGGCTGTGGGGTATCCCACCGCTTCGTAATAGTTTGCAATGGGCCCAGGCCCTGGGTCAGGGCGGGCCAGCAAACAGACAGGTAGGAGCTCAGGCCCTTAGGCAGGGGCTGAGCCAATAGTTCAAGAGAAGC